TAGAAAATTCATAGCTCAGTCACGATTCATCGAATCTACTTCAGAATGTCAGGAAATACTCTATTTTATCTAAAGCATACCGTAAAGCTGAATAAAAGTTGAAAAAATCAAGAGAAAATACTTTGGTTTTTAGAAGGATTTCGCAGAAACCTTCGAAACTAAGAGAATATTTTTTTATTGATTTTAAGTACAGAATCACAATGACCGGATAAAATAGAGTATTTTCTGACATTCTGAAGTAGATTCGATGAATCGTGACTGAGTTATGAATTTTCCAATTTTTGATGAAAAAAGCCAAAAATGGGTTATTCCATTTAGTAAAGATTTTTACTCGGTCCTTGCAGTTTGTTCTGAAAACTAACATTGTCACGAGATTCATCATAGTCGACAACATATATTTACATTCATTTCTTACAGTTTCGAACCTAATAGCAGAGGATTCCTAAGGCTTCTAATAAACGTCCATTGCTCCCGAACCATGGATTTTCGAGATGTTGCTTCGCTCGAGTTTTGTAGAGGACACTTCGGACTATATGAAAAAAAATTGACCTATTTCACTGTCCGTTTTTAGAGAGCCAAACTGGTTTTCCAAAGATCCGCTGAAAAATCGGCTTCGAAAAGTTTTTCAATAATTATTTTTGCTTGCTCAGGTGTCTGCTTTTGATTGCTGAAGAATGCAATGTTCTATCTTACGTTGTTATTGAGTTATTAAAAAAATGGCAAACTGCACTATATTTTGGAGCCCACAGTAGTACCCATAGGCTTCCTTTCTTACCTGCTCCGGTTACCTGTGCAAACAGAACCCAAAGATATCGAAAAAATAAAATCGAAAATCTCCCGGGACATTTTGTGGATGAAGTCTCGATTTCCAACAATATAACAGAATTTTCCGTACAAAGAAAGTATTTTCAAATTATATTTTCTTATCAATTTGGTACGTACTCGAAGCCGTATCGATTCTACTTATTGACAATCATTTCCGATTTTTCTTTAGCCCGATATTAGGCTTTGAAATGTCACCGGACATAAATTCCAAAGTGAGTAACAGAGCAAAGATCAGCTTTTTCTAATTGAAATTTTACCTCTGTCTGGAATCAAAGAATGCAGTATTGTAGAGAAAGATGTGGCCTATAAAATGGAAATGCAATATTACTCTTGGAAGACTAAATATATTGGAAAAAATCCGTTTTCTCTCGATAGACGGCGCCAAAAACCAACCGACGCCGAAATGCCTAAGTTTTCACTTAACGTCTAAATTTTTTGTTTTTTTGCCAGTAAGAGTATCCAATTATCGTTTCGGATACTTTTCGTAAACTGACTATGTTTGTTTTTTATATTATTAACAAATGAATGCGTTCTCTTCTTTGTATTGCTACATTTTGTCAAATAGTCTTATAATTAACGAAAAAGAAAATTAATTTTGTTTCATCAATATTTGCCGTAATCTGGTCATTAAAAAATGTGTAGTGTACAAAGTTTTGAATTGACAAATATCAAAATTCCTTATTTAACAGAAGTGTCTCCATCTTTGATAAAAAATACGCATATATTAATGATTAAAAAAATATTTAAATTGTTAGGAAAAGAAATGGAAAGCGTAAATATACATATACATATATATGAAGAGAAGGCCCAATGTAAGTAATATTCTAAAGAAATAAAAAATAAACGAGAAATTCAAAACAATAAAAATTCGAAGAATAAAACGAACTTAAAAACTATCAATCTCGAACCATCAGCCTATAGAATTGAAATCACAGGTATTTAAAAATATCCATACGGCAAAAAAATCAAACATACGAAATTGAAAAGCGATGAAGAATTGTTATGTTCATTTATTTGTTATTGTTGTCTGTTTTTTAAATTTAAGATATTTTATCTAATACCGATTGTACTTCGTTAAATACATCTTCTGGTTTTAACTCTGAATTTATCTGAAATATTGAAAAAAAAATAAATTAAATAAAAATGTATACGTTTCATGATTACTTATTTATACATACTGCAGCTAATTTTCCTTGTTGTTCATAATAATGAATGACCGGTTCTGTGGCATCATGAAATGTTTTCAATCGTGCTTTGATTGTTTCAATATTATCGTCTACACGTCCGCTCGTTTTTCCACGATTTAATAAACGATCTGTCATTGTTTGATCATTAGCATTGATATACAATACAAGATTACATGGAGCAATCTAGAAAATGTTGTTCATATAGCAGAAAAAACATTTTTAATCTATGCATATTAAAGCGAATGAAAATTATTTCTTCTACGACTCTCTTTTTTGTTTAAATATCGCATAACTAAATATTCTTAACAGAAATCCATACATTCAGGATAAATAATATTCGAATGCTTACTTGTCGTTCAAATTTTATGGCTTGTTCTACTTCTCTTGGATATCTAAATACAAATTGAAATATTTCAATTAATTAGTGACAAGACATCATTCATTTTTACTAACCCATCAATCAAAAATCCTTTTGTAGAATCAGCTTTCTTTAGCATACCTTCTTTCAATAAATCTAATACTACATCCTGTATAACAAAAATAAAAAAGTGATAAATATTGTCAAACAAATTACTAATAGACGTTTACCATAGGTACAAGTTTTCCTTCTTTCATAAGATCATTCAATTGTTCACCACGTTCTGATTTTGATTGTACGGCTTCCCGCAATAAATCGCTAAAGTAGAAGAAGTAAATCTATCATATAGACTTTGTTTTTAACCACTTACACTTACCCAGTAGAAAGATGTGTGTAACCATACTTTTGAACAATGTAATCACATTGAGTACCTTTTCCTATAAAAAAGAGTTTTCAGTTGTAAAACAATGTCAAAGACGTTTTTTCCCAAAAAGTACTAACCACTTCCCGGACCACCACATACGAAGATAATTTTAGTATTTTTTAATTTGGATATGTCAGGTTTTCGTTCAATGACTAAAATCAACGATATAGTTTTAAAATGCCAAAAATCAAATGAAGATGATCAAATATTAGTTTTAAAACAAACAAACAGCAGTGAAATATATACGGTAGAGCAGTGGGTAATACACAATAGTCGGTTTAGAACACGTTTAGAAGTAATGCTGGTTGATAAAGATCATACAAACGACATGGAAGCTCACACATTTGTGAATTCAGATCATTTACAACTCTGATGATAGTCGTTTGAAACAAGCACTCACTACTATTGTACTCACACCTCTTAGTTGTGAGAGAAAACGATATTCGATAATACTCTTCTTCTACTTAATGTAACAACAAAATTCTGTTAATTCTTTGATAAGATAGTCCAACATTTTTTATATTAACAAAATAAAGTATAAATGTATGATGATACACACCTTGTGTCATGATTCAAACTGTTGTTGTATGTCAAGAATTATAAGATGATAGAAGTGTGTTTTCCTATTTTTACAGATGAACTGGTACTGTTTTCTTTTATTATTTAATTATTTATTTATTTATTTATAACAATGGTACAAGTAATGATGAAAAGAAAGAAAAAAGTAAAATATAATCCTGAAGTTAAAGAGGAAAAAACGAGGATATGTAGAATCATCGTCACAGACTAAATTGTGTATCCACTAATTCATAACATTTATTTCATGTAGTCAACACACAACGAGATATTATATTAAGATAATATGCATAGTTTATAGATACACTACAACTGTATTAGATTAGAATAAAGATGTCATTACGATACTTTTTTACTTTCTTACACATTGAAAATAATAAATAGAATAGAACTTGTATGTCTGTTCGATAGAAAAGAAAAAATTCTTAAGTTGATCTCAATTTCATTTGATATGAGCTTGTTTCTCACTATACAGGCAGCAAACAGATTAGAATTGCGGTCTACATAGTTAAATGCATTGTAGTGGAACAAGGAAAAGTAACTGCAAAGTATTAAAAATAAAAAGAGAGTAAAAAAGATAAAAGTAAATTAATACCGATTAGATTGTGGTCATAACAGACGCTTCCTAAAAAACAATTTTTTCACAAACTCCTTTTTCAATTTTTTCATTCTAAGCTTTGACTCAGAGGTGGCGGAACCACTAGGCTGCCCGTTTTGATGTCGAATTTTGAATTTAGCACTTTGTTATCTGGATAAAACTTGACTACATTTCCAGAAAAGTTTTTTTTATCTGAAGAAAAGGCGAAAAAAGTTTCGCTGCGCGAATAAAACTTTGCTTTTTTTTAGTGATCTTAAATACAGAGACTAACATGGGATATGTGCTTTTTTGGCCTTTTTGCTGGGAACTTCACTTTTAGGGAGTCTGAGTAGAAATACCTTTGATTCATGGAGTTCGAGCTGACATTTTATTTCTGCGAATTGAGCTCAAAAAGATATTTTCTTGTTTGCTTGCTTGCTACGAAAACTTTTACGGAAAATTGCACCTTCCAGAAAAACTTTCAAAATCTGCTGCTGCCTTACCGTGAGCCTTATCCCATTCGGGAACGTTCCGCCGCCTCTGACTTTGACTAAATAACCCTGGTAAGAATCTTAGACCCTTCTAAAAATTATGTTCAACATGTAATGAGCATAGTTCGATTTGTTGTTCTTAATAAACGTGTTTAAATTAAAATTCTGTAAGTATCTCGCTAAGTTTATTTGCTTGAAGGTGTTCAGCAACTCTTCAGAAAGTGTATAATGCAAGTCAATGTTCAGCAATAGACGGACGTTGAACTATATATAGTTTCTTTTCATTCTTTAATTCAAATGAGAATTCCACTATGTAAAAGAAATTTGATAACATTTAGACAAGATATTCAAAAATTTTTATTGGATCATGAATAAATTTTATTAACGAAACGCAATCGTTCTAAGTAAGATCCTAAAAGATTCTTTCTCGATCTTAAAATAAATCGAACGATCGCGGCAATGTATAATTCAAACTGTTATTTCGGCCAGTATAAAATACTAATTCATAATACTAAAAACATTAAGATATTTTAACACTCATAAAGCGATACTTAACTGTAATAGACTATATATAAATGGAAATGTGATTCTAATTGTTCTGTTACTGAATTACAATCAAGATATGTAGGTGTTATTGTAAAAGTCATTTGTTTTTTTTTCTTTTTGTTTTTTTCTTTTTCATTTTTCCTCTTTTTAACGTATTATTTATGCTAAGTAATAGCAAAAGCAGAAGGCTACTAATGTGCGTGTTAACTTCGTGCAATAAAACTTCGTAAAGAAGTGTTTGCTTGCATAAAGAATCAAATTTTTCATCGTGAAATTATCGCTCAAGCAAGGCTGTACTGTTAGAATGTTCGTGTGCAATAATACTGTGATAAAAAATATATAATTTCTGCCTGGGAACTTATCATAGGAATAAAATTTTCATGAAAAACGTGTCTTGCATAATAAGCAGTTGCATATTATTATGAAAAACGTGTAAACAGATAAAAATCTTATGGTGGTGGTGCTTGTAGCAAAACACACATAACGCTTTTACCTTCGTGGTGTGAAGTATTATTATCAGCCTATAACAAGGTTAAAGATGTCATTCTTATCCTAGGACTCACTCCCTTAAAGATCATTTCCGCTATAATTTGTAGAAAAAAAATTCTTTACCTACTTGTTCCATTAAACGATCAATAGAATTCTGTACATCCTCAAATATTTCATCTGGTGAACGATTAGAATCAATCTAGAATAACTATAGCATATACATGTTGTTATATTGGATAGTGACTGTGAAATATATACTGTAACAAGTTTTCCTTGTTTTCCGTAATAACCGAGAAGTGGTGTTGTTTGTTCATGAAATGTATCCAGCCGTTTTTTAATTGTCTCTTCATTATCATCGATTCTTCCACTTGTCTCACCCCGTTTAACTAATCTTTGTGTCATAATATCGTCAGGTAAATCGAAATAAATTAACAAATCACACGGTGTAACATCATTTTCAAATTGTATACCTTAAAAACATGGATACTTTGTGATAAAATGAAAATATAATAGAATAAACATAGCAACTAACTGTTTTTCCGTTTCTTATTCATTCTCTGAGCTGTCTACTTTGATTAATCAAATTAAAATAGAATTTTATAAGCAAAAATAATTTTGATATAACTATACCTACATTGAACCTACCATGTTACAAATCTATTGAAATATCCTAAATAAGTTATCGATACAATTTTTCTAAGTATCATTAAACAGCTATACTGAGAGAAAAAATGAAATATTCGACTAATGTAATTTACTCTAAAAAATTGTATAGACGTGCCACAAAAGACGTAATTTTTACCTTGATCAATTCTTCGAGGAAAACCATCAATTAAAAAGCCCGTAGCTTCTTCAGCTCTTTCAAAAATGGCATCCTTAAGTAATCCTAAGATATCTTCCTAAAAAATAAAGCAGACATGGAAAAGTCTTTCCGTTTAATTACATAAAAAAAAGTGTCTTACAGTTGAGATTAATTTGCCTTGTTGCATCATTTCATTAAAATATTTTCCTTTTGCTGAATTTCCTTCTACAGCAGCTCGTATCAGATCACCAGCACTCAAATGCGTAAAGCCATATTTTTCAATAATTTTTTCACATTGTGTACCTTTGCCTGATCCAGGTCCACCACCAACAAAAAGAATCGGTTTGCCTTTCAATAGATTTTCTTGGTTAGCTGATAATCGTTCAGAAGAATGTGATGATACTTCTGTTCGTGGCGAATTTAAACTTTTTAGTCCTTTATCTAATGCACTACAAATATTTTTAAATACTTCATCGATACCGCGTGAGGCATCCACCTAATTAACGCAATAGAGATCTATCTATAACGTACAAAAAATTCTTCAGTCAACCAGCATACTTTAACAAGTTTATTTTCATCTTGATAATGTTGAGTAAGTGGATCAACATAATCATGAAAATTTTCAATGTTATAATTAGATCGACTTTTATTCAGACGTTGTGACAGTATTTGATCGGAAGCATCAAGATAAAATACCATTGAAAATGGAACAACCTGTAGAAAAATGTCATGCTTTATGCTAAACATTATTCTCTATTAGATGATGGAAAAGGAACCTTCTTTTGCTCTACGGCTTGTCCACGTAACTCCGCTGGCAGAGATGTCATAGCGTTACCATTTTTGCTCATTTTCTTTTGAGCATAGCTCCGTTACGAAACGTCCTAAAGAGCTCGGGAACATCTCAAATTGAAGAAAAAGTTGTTTTAAAGATTTCGAGATTCGTCCGCCTCCTGGAAAGTGTTTCTTTGAAAAACTGTGACGAAAATGTGGAGAGCTATATTTCTGTTTTTTTCTGTAAGAAGTAGGTCTCACCATTTTGCATGTAGATTTTTAAGAAAACATTTTCTAGGGAATGGATGCATCATAAAATCTTTAAAATAATTTTTTCTTCAATTTGAGATGTTCCCGAGCTCTCTAAAACGTTTCATAACGAAGCTAGGCTCAAAACAAAATGAGCAAAAAAGGTAACGCTATGACATCTCTGCTAGCGGAGTTACGTGGACAAGCCGATCTAATAGTATAATTTTTTAATTGTCCTATCACGAAAAAAGGATTTGCTGGAAAGAATGCTGATTATATCAATTTATTTTTACGTACTCTTCGTTCAAATGTTACGCCAAATCGTGTTTCATTCGGTTGACTATCGATAACGTAACCACTTGTATGATCCGCTGTTGTCATCATCTTTTCACCTACTAAATCTGTGATGAAATCCTATAATACAAAATTCTAATAAAACTTCTACTAACTAAGATTCTGACTCTTTCAAATTTTTCAATTAGATCTTGATTTTCTGCATCATTGTTCTATTTTTCTAAAATTTTCTTTCCGTAACATAATTCAAAGAAGCAGTCAACGATTATAGTCATATGTACGGTAATTATGGCTGTCTCACGCAAAACAAAAATATAAAAAGATTTTTTACTTAAGATTCTAATGAGATTTAACACAAAGATCTTTGTTACAAGAAGGTTGTTATTGTAAAGGCGAAGAATAACATAAATAATTATATACCGCGGGAAAATCTTTGGATTGAGAATCTGATTTAATCAAGTCGGCCGTAGATATATGTATATAATTGTATTTTTGAGCAATTTTCTCCGATTGTGTACGTTTTCCACTTCCTATAGAATTAAATTTAGTTGCATACACAAAATATTTGTTTGGAAAAAAGAGATACTCTTACCTGGTCCGCCAATAACCAAGATCAGCTTTTTATCTTTTAATCGTTGAGTATCAATTGAAACTTTTTTCGTTTCTTTTTGTGCATCATGTTTTCCGGCTGGTATTGAATCTAATTTAGCTCGACGATTCAATCCACCTCCAACATCATGTTCACTCTTTCCATTCGTGGCAGTATATGACATCGATTGTTGTTGTTGTTGTTGCTGTGATGTTGATGGTTGGTCATGATTTTGTGCATTCGCTTTTTTTAATGGTGCTAACGTTTGCACGCCACCTTTATGTCCAATAAATAAATCCCATTTTAATGCTTGGTTCTCTGATTTATAACGTGCTAATGAGTCTATAATAAAGTCGATATGATCATCTGGCTTATGCACCATGAGTCCAGTGAGTAGACTCTCAAACAGCTCTGGAATTTTTCGTTTTGAAATATAATCTTTTGCAATTTCGGTATTTGCATTTTGTGCTAAATGAGTCATTGTTATAAATTAAGATTCTCAAAAATGATCTAAAAATGCATATTTGACATGATACTATGTATTCCAAACTTATTGAACTTTTCGGATTAGAATCAATTTAATATAATAATGTCATCTGAATTGCACAAAATGAATTCAATATTCCTCAAAACAGTACTGTATCAAAAATGCGCAAAAAAACATATATTTCTATATATAGAAAGAGTCCAATATATCAAAAGTTGTTCAATAGTCAAATGTGACTAACTATTCGACAAAAATTTAATAAGGAATGGACAAACCAAATTGAACGATCTATTTATTACAACAATAAAAATATGTTTACAAAAAAAATTTGTTTTATAAGACATTGCTATACATTAAAGAGTGAAATGGTTATGAAAATACAATATAACACAAGTTTTAGCAACAACAACAACAAAAAAAATATATATATACCATAGAGCAGTTTTATCTTTCCAGGATAAAATGCACTAGCAAAATAAATGCAACTAAACAAAGAAAAACAATGTTCACATTTTTTTTTTCTTCATATTTTACATCATAGTCATCTAAAATTTGGAAAGGAAAACAAATGAAAGAAGGAAAGACACTAAGGACAAAGAAAGAAAATAAAAAAAATTGTTAGCAATTTCATAATCAACTGATAGATGCTTGAACAAAAGATTCAAATATAGCTAAGAACTCACAACAACAATAGGCTTCAAAATAATTCTGACACTCATCAAAACATATATTAATTATATGAATACAATTTAGAAAACGAGGATATATATACGAACTATATGTAAATGTTAAGAAAAGAATCATAAAAGTGTCCTTCGAGATTCTGAAAAATTCAATTTAATTCAAAAAAGCAACTGATCGTATATAAAAAATTCTGATGAATTTTAGACGAGATTAGAAATATAGATGATATAAAATTCACGTAAACACATAACATTGCACTTAAAAAAATATAATGCAAAAAAATATTGTATTACTGCAAATATTTTTCTATCATCGGTTTAAGATCAGGATAAATTTCATCCACTTCTAATCGACAGTCAACCTAGAAAGAATAAATAAAAAAATGTCGAATTATGAATATATTTTATATTTGTATAAGTATCATACATGAATCGCTTTGTTTTCATTTTTAAAATATTTAATAATTTCATCTTCAACTGTTTTTGGTTCATTGCGATCATCACCAACGAAAATCAAAGCAGAATATGGACCAATCTATTTATAACAGAAAAGATATTATATTGATACATAATGTTTCATGATATAGTACATTTATTTCGAAATTCTATTCTTACCTCATCTTTAAAACGTATTAGATCATTAAGCGATGATGGAAAATGATCAACAATGTACCCGGTTGTTGTACTCATTGAATCAATAATTTTATTTTTTAATTGATCAAAATTTTGAGATATTTTACATATTGTTTGATCACAAGTGATATGTTTCAATGAAAAATCCTGTGCAATACGTTCACATAATGTTGAAATAAATGAATTATTTTCATCTTCTTGTTCATCATCACAATTCATCTCTTCATCAATAATTAATTCACCTGTATCATCATTCGTTGTTACAAAATGATTATCAATTAAAAATAAAATTGATAAACTTGATATTTTTGGTTCAAATGAATGATGGTTTGCTGTTGTTGTCGAATCTAAAACTATAAAATAGAATAGCGATTTTAATATCTGTAAAACAAAAAAAGTATGTAAATTTACTTTCTTTACTTACATTTTTCTTCAACGTAATGCATAACTGGATCAAGTAAGAGAAACATATCATTTTCATTATTACTCTAGAACAATTACCAAATATTTCTTCGAATCATATTTCATAACGTAAATTTACCGTAATAAGTTTGATCTTTTCATTTCCAGAAGATAAGGCATTTGTTAATTCACTTTTTAATACGAGAATTAAATTAATGTGTCCAAGCTATGTAATAGAATTTAGTTTTCATCTGTGATCGTATGTACATTATAAACTTACTTTATTTTCCCATTTATCCAATTCTTCAAGATCAGACATATCACCCTCAACAAGAAATCCTCTTGCATTTGATTGCCGATGTTTCTCAATTTCTTGATGAATAAAATCAAATACTGTATCTGATGATGTTCGTGGAGCTACATTACAAATAAAATGGTTAATGTTCGTTTCTTCTGTTGAAAAGATATTATACTCACATAAATCATCATTGATATCGTTACAATGAATTGACAAATGAATTAATCCTGGATATCGTTTGGTTAATTTTAAACATAGTTTTTCAGAATCAATGATATCACCTAAAATAGGAGAAAACAAAATTAAACACGAAACATCTACCTCATAATAAAAATGTGCATGACAAAGGATTGTTAAAGTTTTCAGGGTAGAGTAGGGTTAGAGAGCTCGGTATATCTATACCCTACAACAGTTTTCTTACCAATTAGAAATATAATTGGACAAGACGTTGATTTGGTTTCAATTGGCGGTAAAACAGGGGGTTTCTTGTTTGCTCGAGGAGCAACTAAATATAAAAATCAATGGTTTATTTTGAACAGGAATAATACAACGGTGACAAGTAATACCAGCCAATTCGAATTTTTCCGGAAAAGAACACTTTTCCATTTTTTGCACTGCAGGTGCTGGTACACGAATAGGTGGCAATGGTTGTTGTTCTTGTTTTGACAGATTAGCATCCACAAAGAGATCCCATCGGATATGTCCTTGAGTATTCTCTACCTATATAAAAAAACAGGACTACAGAGGTAATAACACTACCATCAATAATATAAAGAATACCTTATTAAGACACTCTTTAATAAATGATATATGATCCTCTTAAAAAAGAAAAAATACATCTCATATAACAACAAAAAACGGTTAGAAAATGCTAATTTACCTGGCTTATGGATCATTAACGCGGTCATAAGCGCCTGAAAAGATAGTTTGAAAGTTTAAATTATACAACAGGTGCCAAAGTTGTCGACAAATGAAATTAGTATTTACACCGTGTTTTGAGAAACTGAGAAGATAATCACTTTGGATTTTTGTCATTTTCTTGATCGCTCTTTTAAACCATATACTCTAATGTAAAATTTGAGTTTGATTGCAAAAACACAAAAAACTCATGCGATTTTAAATAGATTTTATACATAATTGTGTGTTATGATTGTTTAAATGTAAAATCATGAGTCAATTTTAAGATAAAAATGTCTACAATGGTATTGTCCCTAAGAGAATACTTTTCTCTACAAAATAAAACAAGTGCGACCTTTGTACAAGGTAGTGTTGTTGAGTATTAGTACTAGCGTTCATCTATGTAACACGATACTAAAGAACACTGTTCTGTTGTTTATCAACTATAGCTCAATGACATGCAGTTGAGAACAGAGATGTTGGCCGAACTTCTGCGCAGCGGTCAAGAAAATGGCAAAAATCCCAAATGATTATCTTCTCAGTTTCTCAAAATACGGTATGACCTCTCTTTACGGTCACTTATTATGATCCACTGTATCTTACCTCAAATAGCTCTGCTATATTCTTCTTTGTCATATAATTCGCTGCATTTAATGTACTAGTATTTGCCATTTTAAATAATCTGAAATGAACACTAACATCGATTTTGTATTATACAGTTTTTCTACACATAATCATGTAGTTGAATTTAAACTGGAAGACTGATGAAAATTTATTGAATAGAACACAAGACGGGTTTAAGAAATTATCAGCAGGTTTATTTGAAAAACAATATCAAAAAAATAAAATAAAATAATAAATAATATTAAAAATGAATGAAGAAAACGGTACAACAATATATGGAAGACATATCTAGTAAAATTAGCATCGTTATATTGAACAAAATAGATGTGTATTACTTTTTATTCATTTCTATGAATGTGTCCCATTTTATCGGCAACTTTTCACTTTTAATCTACAAAAAATAAAAATATATCTATGAAAACATTTATCATGAAGAAACTACAATACAGATCACACACTTTTAACAAATTATTAATAATGTATTCTAAATGTTCATCTGGTTCATTAATCATCAAACCAAGCATGAGTGTTTATAATAAAGAAGAAAATTTTGTTAGTTCATCTAAAATCGCGCATTGCTTATCTCGAATAATGTTGGTCACATCTCATTGTAAGATGTATAATTTTTTTCATTCACCTAAGGATTCTGAATTATTACGAGATAGATTCATGTCTAAAATGACGAAAGATTTTGCTCTCTCTCATACATATACACAGTATTTCTCTGAGGTTTCTAACTCGGTTGTTTCAAATAATTAGCATGCACTATAAATATCACAGATAAAAACAAACATCTCACGAATAAAGGAATGCTTGTTATATGTTTTAGATGAACAAGGGATTTTGCCAGTTGTTTCATGTTGTTCCTGATCTGCTATTTAGTAATTTCTGCGATTTCAGGAATCTCATACAGATAGTGTCAAATATTTGTCAAAAGTCCAAAATCAGAAAAACCTGAGAAAAAGAAGTAGAAAATCAGTCTCTTAGGGAAAAAAAGAGTAGAAACGAGGGAGAATAAGTTCCAAAAATCAGAATTTTTCTACCAAAATCAGAAGATCTGAGACCCCTGATTCCAATTGTTTTTCATGTTAATGAAAGGTTATCATACATACTATAATTTTCTTTCTCTTCACTACCGTGTTCGCGATATGTACAACAAACTGTTGGAATTTGTTTTATACAAAATAATTGCTTTAAAGTCAAAATAACCAAAACATTTTTGACTCAGGTTGGTCCAAAAGGATAAAAACCAGTAAGAGAATGAGTAGATGAGTATGTTATAGGTAGAGATGGGCATCGGGACCAAAAAAATTTTCTGGTCCCGGTAAAAGATTTGATGGCCGTTCCATCACCTTCACGGTTAAAATATCATTTGGCCGTGGATTTTGTAGAGAAATGTTTCCTCTTTCAG